AAATAAATAAATAAATAAATAAATTTGTGCATGGTGCCGATGACTCCCGACCGGCAGGTGCCGACCAGCTGACCGGTCGGCTGGTCGGCGGCCGACCAGTCAAGGGCTGCCTACCGTTGGGGTGTGCAACACTGTTTATAGGCATAAAATCAAGGGGGGGGGGGGGGGGGGGGGAGGTATATTATGCTTGGAATGTGAAGAATGGGCAGTTGAAGTGTTAATGGGTATTGTGATTTGCTCTGGACACAGTGGGCAAGGGAGACTGTCATGGGGTTTTAATCTACTTTGTGCATGAACGGGTGAACGGGGAGTGGAAGGTGAGGGGGAGACGTTTTTCTCAGCGTGGGGGGGAGGGCGTTGTCTAGGGTGGTTGGAGCTGGGATGGTTTGCATGCAAATAGTGTTGATGATGTCGTCTTCTGAGGGGGTCATGCGAAGCTTTCCTCAAAAGGGGACTTGAGGGAGGTGGGAGCTTTGACGAGTTGCAAAACACTGTACGCCCAAGTGGGGAAAAGCGGGAGTTTCTATGATCTGTTCAACATGGGCCCTGTGTGAGAAGACGGGACAGGGCGAGAATAGAGACCCTGTGTTCAGATGCAGTCAATGGAACTGAAAAGACCGCATTCAAATTCAGTCAGAAAAACCAATGAGATGTGAATAAAACGTATATGATGTACAACTCTTCCAGCCATAGTACATGACCAACCTAGCCCTTCTCCCTCCCCCCTCGTATTGTTGTTTTGCAGAAAAAACAAAGGGAAATCAGTGAGACTGTGAAGTTTGCACAACTTTGGAATGAGATGATCACTAGCTTGAGGGAAGAGGATTATATCAGCAACAGGTATGAAATCACTTTTCCTGTCGTGTTGTGATTCGACTGTAGTGTTATACCCTGCATTACTTCATGAGGTTGTGGCACTGCACCCGGTGACACTGTCGTGGGGGAGTGCTGTGCTCCTGCGTGTCGTTTTTCCCTTTTTTGTTGAGCTGATCTCTGCAGTGATTCATTTCAGGGAACAACGTGAGGACTCTGCTAGGTGGTCTGGACAGAGTCAGCCAGAAGGGCCAGGGCAGAGAGGGGAAGAGCGAAAGGGGGAGGGGCAGGCCAAAGACGGAAAGAGGAAAACGGGAAAGTGGGGATGGAGAAAAGAAAGGGGAAGTGAGAGAGAGAGAGAGAGAGAGAGAGAGAGAGCATGAGCATTTAGGTTTCCTCGCTTTTGTTGTTGTAATCCTGTTGTCTAATCATTTGTACAAGGATATTTCCTGATAGGCAAGGGCATAATGAACCACTGTTACCTCTTGACCCCACTCACCAGAACTACTTGCTATTCTTATGAAGGATTGTTGGAACAGCAAGGCCTGGTTAATGAGCCCCGGCCATAAACCATTGCCATTGTCCTGCTGCAGCATGGGATGAGTACCATAGTGACTTGCATTGGTGGTAAGAACAAAAGGAAGAGAAGGGTCGGGGACGTCGATTAAAATTGGAACCACACAGAGAAGATTAGCATAGCCCCTGTGTGAGGATGACACGCATAAATTGATAAATGGTCCAAATTGAAGAAAAAAAAAGAAAGGTAAAAAAGGTAAAAAATGAACGGGATGGGCTCCCAAAGGTTGCTTAAGGCATGGAAAGCCTTGATGCAATCGGATGTCCATGAAAAGGAAACCTTGTCATCCTGTGCAAAGAACACACGTTCATAGCGAAGTTTGGAAGGAATTTGTGATAGTATGAGACCATTCCCAAGAATGCCGAGGCTTCTCACACGGTGGTTGGCTGTGGCATAGCCTTAATGGCTTCCGCCTTCAAGTCTTCCAGTTCTAGACTTTCGTCAGAGATCCAATGCTCCAAGCAGATGACACTGTCATGTCCGATCTCAGGTTTCTGTAAGTTAATGTATGTAGTTCTGGTTTCAAAGGATCTCTAGGACCTATTTCAAATTGAAATCAGTCTTGCAAATTCACACTCAAACATGCATGCAACAGATGAGAATAACTTGGCGCTGTGCACCCAACTCAAACTCGGAGATATGGTAGCTTGCAACTCAACTC